GGCTCTGTGGTGCTGAAGCTAACTTCTGAAAAGGAGTTGAAGCTTAAGGATGTTCTGCATGTCCCAGACATCCGCAAGAATTTGGTCTCTGGATCTCTTCTTGTTGAGCATGGATTTAGGCTGGTATTTAATGCTAAAAAGTTTGTTCTTAGCAAGTTTGGATAATTTCTCGGTCGTGGTTATCTCGACAAGGGTTTGTTCAAAATGAATGTAATGGTCGTAAGCCGTGTAATCGTTGATAATGAAAAACCTATTTCTGTTTATAACATTAAATGCTCTGATTATGGTATATTATATTGGGATATGTAAATCTAAATGCAATTAAACGGTTGATGAAATTAGAATTAATTCCTAATTCTAAAGTTGAAACAAATACAAAATGTGAAATTTGTATTGAAGCAAAAATGGCTAAGTTGCCTTTTCACTTGGTGGAAAGAAGTACTGAACCATTAGACTTGACCCATACTGATGTATGTGATATGAAAAGTGTGCAAACGAGAACGGGTAAAAAGTATTTTATTACTTTTATCGATGGTTGCACAAGGTTTTGCTACTTATATTTGTTAAGAAGCAAAGATGAGGCTATGGAAGCATTTAAGATCTATAAGACCGAAGTTGAAAATCAACTCGGCGAAAGGATTAAAATAATCCGAAGTGATAGGGGTGGGGAGTATGTAGCTCCTTTTGAACAAATATGTTCTGAATATGACATAATTCATCAAACAACAGCCACTATTCTCCTCAGTCGAACGGTGTTGCTGAACGCAAAAACCGAACTTTAAAAGAAATGATGAATGCCACGTTGATTAATTCAGGATTACCACTGAACATGTGGGGGGGGAAGCTGTTATAACAGCAAATCACATCCTGCACAAAATATCACCTAAAGGGAAAGATGAGACTCCTTACGAAATATGGAAAAATCGTAAGCCGTCTTATAAATACCTGAAAGTGTGGGGGTGTTTGGCTAAGGTTTCAGTACTTGAACCTAAACAAGTAAAAATCAGACCAAAGACAGTCGATTGTGTATTTATTGGATATGTGTACAATAGTACAACATATAGATTTTTGGTTCATAAATCAAAAAATCCAGAGGTATCTGTGGGTACCACGATTGAGTCGAGGAATGCTATATTCTTTGAGAATATTTTTCCTCTTAAAGAAACGACAGAATCTAGTTCTAATAAACGAATATATGAAAATGCTAGTGGTTCTGTACCAGAGCGTACTAATGAAGAACCGAGACGTAGTAAAAGGGTAAAAACGGCTAAAACATTTGGACCTGATTTTATTACGTACATGTTGGACGATGAACCGAGTTCCCTTAAGGAAGCTCTGTCCAGCCCAGATGGACCACTCTGGAAGAAGCTATAAATAGCGAAATTCAGTCCATTATGCAAAATCATACTTGGGAATTGGTTGATCTCCCTGATGGTTGTAAACCTTTAGGATGCAAATGGATCCTAAAGAAGAAATATAAAGTTGATGGATCGATTGATAAGTTTAAAGCACGATTGGTGGTCAAAGGCTTTAAACAAA